CCCCAAAACCCCAAAACCCCAAAACCCCAAAACCCCACAAGGTGGATTTCGCTAATAATTTTCAATGCTTAAAAGTGATTGTTAATAAGTATATATCTTTAATAAAACAAATAAAATCAATTAACTCATAATAACAACCATCACATCAGCCAATATGGATAATAGACGCAGACAGTAAGTATCTCGTTCACATTAATTCTCTTTCACTAGATTTGAGGAATCCCTCAAGCAAAAACTCTCACAGAAGTGCTAAGCCAATCAATCAGAGGAACAGTTCCTGATTAAGAGCTTCAAGTTCTTCGATTTCTCCAACAGTGGAGAAGTTGATTTCCCAACTTTCTAGAGAGCCATCGCAAAGATGGGAGTAGTAGTCGATGAAGAAGATCTAGAAGTTTTTTTCAGAGCTTATGACAGCAATGGTAATGGGAAACTAGACTATAAAGAATTCTCAGATATTGTTTTCAACAGAGCCTAGGCATCTGGCTCAGGCAACGCAAGCCAAGGCAGACAGTAGGCATCCACTTACAGAGGACTTAGAGAGTAAGGATTATATCTTGTAATAAAAACCTAATAGTCCTAAGCCATACATCGAAGCAATTAGAGACAAGATCAAGCAGAGAGGTGCTAGAGGCATCATAGGACTCCAGAGAGTCTTCAAGGTAAGACTATTTGCCAATTTTTAACAATGAATATAGATAATGGATGACAATAACTCTAAAAGTTTGGACAAACAAGAGTTTAAAAAGGCTGTTAGAGACTTCAAAATCGATATTCCAGATGAATACATTGATATTATCTTCGCCGCCTTCGATCTCAACAGAGATGGAACTATTGATTATGATGAATTCCTTAGAATCATTAGAGGAGACTTGACTGCACCAAGACTTGCACTTGTGAAAAAGGCTTATGCTAAGCTGGACAAAGATGGATCAGGCTCAGTAGATATTGAAGACATTAGAGACGTTTATAACACTTCACGTCACCCAGATGTTATTTCAGGCAAGAAGACTAGCGACTAAATCTTGGTTGAGTTCTTAGAAACATTCGAGATGCATCACAATATTTAAAACGATGGCAGGCCAGATGGTACCGTTTCTCTTGATGAATTCGTGGAGTACTACACCAATGTGTCAGCTTCTCTTGATAATGATGAATATTTTGCCATCATGATGAATAACTCATGGAATCTTTCAGGAGATGCTAACACATACAAAAAGCAAGAAAAGGGCTGGACTAATGCTGAGAAAAAGAATGCTTTCGTTGGTCAGCCACATCAAGGATACAAATCAGGTGCAGATGCTGTCAAGATGGTTGCCTAAAGATCAGGTATGATGAGTTCTGAGAACCCATTGAGCACAACCACTAGATACTACAATAACAACTATGAATCTAAGAGGCAAACACCCAGTCTTGCCAACAATGAGAGAAACTATGGAGAGCAAAAGGATCACTACTAAAAAACTGGAGTCCAAAGCAAGAACAACCCATTCACTCAAAACAATGAAACTCATTATAATGGTTATCATGGTAAGAAAGTTGATGAATACGTTGATAAGCCACAGCCAAAGCAACCTAAGTATAAGACTTATATGCTCTAGAGAATCAGAGATAAATGTATCTCAAGAGGTGAGAGAGGCCTATTTGGTTTGAAGAGACTTTTCCAAACTTTCGACACTGATAATAGTGGTCAACTTGACTTCAAAGAGTTCAAGAGAGCTATTCTAGACTTCAAACTTGACGTTGAAGAATAAGACATCCAAAATATTTTCAAGAGTTTTGATAACAATGGAGATGGCGTCCTTGACTTATCAGAATTCATGGAAATGATGCTAGGTCAGCTTGAAGGTGCTAGACTTCAAGTAGTTGATCAAGCCTTTGATAAACTCGATCCTAATGGAACAGGCACTGTACAATATGCTAAAGTTAGAGAACTTTTTGATGGAAAGAAACACCCAGATGTAGGCAATGGAAGAAAAACTGAAGAGGAGGCTGTTTCAGATTTCCTTGAGATCTATGAAATTCATCACAATACATACAATAACTTTGAAAAGCAACCAAAAGTGACAAGATCAGAGTTCAGAGAATTCTACAGAACCCTCAGTCCCACAATTGAAGATGACCTAGTCTACTTAGCTATGGTCAAAGGAGTTTGGGGAGTAAAAGAATACAGACCAGATGTGACTGAAAGAAATTTCGCTGGAGGAAAACCAGACGCTGTTAACTCTAGAGACAGATATAATAAGGCTAACAGCAACAAGCCTCCCCCATTCGGTGTCAGTCAATCAGAAAATCCATAAACTTGGACTAGTAACAACTAGGCTCAACACAAGAGACCATCTGCTCAAGAGCAAGATAACAGAATTGCTGGAGCCCCAACAAAGCAATAATTATTTGTTCAATAGCAAAACAAATCCCAAGGTGGAGGAAGTCAATATGGAGGCAGTTAATACGGAGGTGCTTCTCAAGTAGAGCTTTTAGAGAGATTTAGAGAGAGAATGGCAGCCAGAGGTGCTAGAGGTATAATGGGACTTAAGAAAGTATTCAAGATTATGGATGATGACAACAGCGGTTTCTTAGACATCTACGAGTTCAACAAGGCTCTTAAGGACTACAGAGTTAATGTAAGTCCAGAGGAAAGCAGAAAGCTATTCAAAATCTTTGATATGAACGGAGACGGAAACATCAGTTATGATGAGTTCTTAAGACAAGTCATTGGAGAGATGAATCAAAACAGACAAAGACTTGTGAAGAGAGCTTTTGATAAGCTAGACAAGAACGGAAATGGTATAGTTGAGCTTGATGATATTAGAGGAGTTTACAACGCCAAGAACCACCCTGATGTTAAGCTAGGCAAGAAAACTGAGGATGAAGTGCTGACTGAATTCTTAGATACCTTTGAGGCTCATTTTGAGCTTCTTCACCCAGGCAGTAGAGACAAGAAGATCTCATTCGATGAGTTCGTTGAGTACTATAACAACATCAGCATGTCAATTGATGATGACAGATACTTTGACCTTATGATGACTAATGCCTGGAATCTAAATAACACCTCTTACAAGAAGGGCTGGGGCGCTGAGTATTGAAAAGACTGAGAAATTTTGAAACAAATAACAAACCAGATGATTTAAGATAACTAAAATTTTACATTCATTAACTGTTTATTAATTCACATTCATATCTCATTTAAATTTTATTTCTTATGGGGTTTTGGGGTTTTGGGG